AATGCAACTTTTTGTGAAAATACCAAAGCACTTGAGTTTTATTCACTGACTGCTATCCTACGCTTAGCAGTGTTCTAACACCAAAGTTCCCGTGCTTTCTGAAGACCTCACCTACAGGTTGGCTCCATCTGCCTATGGAGGTTACTTACGGTATCTCCTGCTTACACCATATACCTCGTCTATCAGTAGGCTTCCTGCTGAAGGTTACTTTGGACCGTAATGATGTAATACTGCTGTGTGCAGCATATGTGATCATGAGAACCTACTACCTTCAGAGTCTGCACGTGGCACTAAAGAAGCAAAAATGCACACCTCACTCCAACTACACTCTCCTGTTAACGTCACGACAGACCCTGGCAGCCATCTGTTGGAGGGATGCGGTGCCTATATATAGCCAGACAACACCACAAGAGAAAGAAAAACTCATTATCTGCACCTAATTCAGCATTTGCGCTACTGGCAGTTCTGCAAGCACTTTTTTTACTGGCCAAACAAGTGTTCACTCCACAAATATCCTATCTAAAAATGATACAAACTTCAATGTAAAATTATCTGGAACAAGAAAGTAACTTGGGTGTTAAAAGGAGCACTAACAAGTGGGTAAGTGGCTTCCAGCTACACAGATTTTATGGGCCATTTGTAAGCACAGTTGATTTCAGACCGATTTAATGTGCCAGTCTTCCAAAACAGCAAAGAGATGAAAAATACAAATCCCAGCAAACTGTATTCAACACAGTCCTAGAAGTTGGCCAAGTACTAAGCAGACCAAGGACATCTTACAGATGAACAGAAGCCTGGGAGACCACTTATGGCACTGGTGACGGTTTCCCCTCCAGCGACTCGGGACAAGAGTAACAGGAGGTAACACACACTGCCATGAAGAACTGACAATAACATTCCAAATAGGAAACCGACTGGGTTCTGCCATTGCCACTGGTTGTTAATTACCAACTCCCTTCAAACACAGGAGTAATGGGGACGGTGCGAGTCAGGTCAGAGGTGACAAAGCCATGTGATTGAACGTGATTTTTATTTCAGTTCTTAAATTAGTTGGAGGGGGGGTATTGTGCGAACAAACCTGGATATGCCTAGAACAGCAGGGGGAGCTGCTAGTCTGTGTTCCTCTGTCTATTTAATTGCATTGGATATGTGGACAAAAACACTGAAGTACGCTTGCACATCACCATAGAAAGATGCCTGCATGTCTAACAAGCCTCAGAAAAAATCGAGTTCATAACAAAGCATTAAACAAGGAGCAAGAGATAATTGTCACCTTCTATCACAAGATAATAAAAATAGTTACACCATAAACATAAAAATCTTTTAAAAGACCCCTGACAGCATTCCCTCCTGGAACTATCACCATAGCAATGTGCATTCAAATAGTGGGGGAAAGTACTGCTGAATTCTGCATTTGATATTTTCAACTAACTAAAAATACAAACTGGAAAGAAAATACATGCGGGTGATATAGAATAAAGCACATGAACATAAAAAAAGCCTTCAACAGAATTAAAGGTGGCAAATTCCGCTTGCAAATCTTTAATACTCCAGGCAAGAAATCCTTTAACCAGGTAGCACACATTGAAAGAGTGCCTGCAGATAACTAAAGCCATCCGATAGCTGCTGTATTCCTATTTATAATGTTTTGCACAGGTTGGTGTCAAGGTGCAGTGGCACTGTTGTGTGAAATCTCAGGAAAAGATGCAGGTTGGAGAGAAGGCCAGTAGAAAGCTGTACTGGCAGAGCCATACAGCAGGGCAGAAAGCAGGGTATCTTGTATGTTAAGATCTAGGCACAAAGCACAACGCTAGGAAGGGGGGCTTGCAAAGTAGCAAACTGCATCTTCTCTAGTTGGTGCTATTAAAAAGGGCTGATTTCCATGACATTCAGATCCATCGTTGAGATGAAATAAAGGTGAACAGAGTGGATTGTTTTGAAATTCCTCTCCCAGATGCAGACATCAGGAGCACACACAAAAGCAGGTGCCGGGTGTATTGATCCTACTGAATACGCATGGAGTGGGTACTTGAGCATGTACCAAGCATCTGCGTCTGGGAGATGGAAAGCGCTTTGTAAAAGGCTGTTTTATGCTAAACAAATGCATCAGGTTATGTTTTTATTTTGAATATTTTAAAGCGTCTTGCACACTGGGGCAGATTTGAAAAGAAATTATACAGGCAGACAACTTGCCATTAACTGTACAAGTTACTATCTCTATAGCTGAAAATTGGCTGTGGGCTCAGTTAGGAGCACTACAAGCTACTGAAAACCATCCTCAATAAAACCTGCTCTGACTGCTGCACCTTAGAGAACTGGAGATCCTGCATCTGAAGACTCTTCAGGCCCCATATGCTGGCCCAGCTGCAGCAGGAAAAGGGACGGACACATTTCTTCCCAACAGCTCCTCAACATACCCAGCAGGGAAGTGACATATTTAACACTTGCAAATGCTGCAAATTCATATCAAGACCATCCAAAGAGGCTGAGATGGACAACGCTAGCTGACTTTGATAATTAAAGGATCATAATGATCATAATTCAGAAGAGAAAATGAAACAGGCATCTGTTAGAAAATTTGGCTATGCTTTGTAGTAATCCCTGAGATAAAAGTTCCCTTTATCACAGACAATAACCAAATTCTGTACCAGAAATCAACCTCTGTATTGTATTTGTGGAATCTTTTCCCCCCTTTTTTAAGGAGGGAAAAAATTAATCCCTACAGGAGATGACAAGATGCCTTTTAAAGTATGTATCTCATTTCTGACTACAATTACCTTTCAATACCCTGGCACAGCTGCACATTCCTATTTGCTTTTTGTTTTTCATTAAGGGCTCCTCTATTATTTCTACCCATCCTATAGCATTTATGCCTGGCAGTGATGCACATTCCCTTGCCTACAATTCTTCCCACAGATAGTAGAGAATAAATTGCAATTAGATTTTCGTAATTGTAGATAATTAACTCAAAATGAGCTGTTAATTATAAAAAACCCTATGTTTTTCAGTTCTTGATTATATTATTTATTTTACTTCTAAACTCCAGTATCTCACTTCAGCAAGTTTAGTACTTCAAAGGACCTTCACCATTTCCTTTAAAACACCAGGATAATTTTAAGCTAAGATCAGCTTATTTGAAGACTGAAATCAAGTTACATGCTGTGAGGTTTGCTAGAGGGGCTCTTACGTATGAACTGGAAGTCAGAGAAGGCTGTTTTTCTATTAGAGTTCTGATAGGATTTGCTGTAACAGGAACCATTTGGCAGGTCAATTAAAAAACAACAACTAAAATAATAATAATAATAATAATAATAATAATAATAATAATAATAATAAACCCTCCAAAAGACACTGTTAAAAGATGCACTCCTACCAGTTCTTCCTCCTTCTAAGCTCAAGCCACACACTTGCAAACTCTCCCTCGATACTGAAGAAAACACTTACATATTCAAATGCATAAAAGAGACAAATGGACTTGTCTTCCGTAGCCTCTTTCAGCCTTACATTAGAGTAAATTATTTAGGGAGCATTCATCTGGTAACCTTTGCAAAACTGAAGATGGCATACAGGAAGAAAAACTTCCAAGTGTTTTGCTGCCAAACTTCAGAACCAGCTGGCATGGCAACTTAAGACTGCATGAACACATACTCACTTTGAAAAATGACAGTAAATTAAACAAGGGGAATGAAGAGAGGGAGGGGAACCTTCTGAAATCTGGAACTCTTGTTTTGTTAATGGCACAAGTTTTCCTCCTCTCCCCTGCTTAGGCTGTGTAGATTTCTGCAGGTTTTTGGTAAACTGTTGCCAAGAAGCCCTACAGATGTTCTAGGTTACATTTTTCCTCCAAGGCACTTAATGATGCTGAATTTTAAACATACCAGTGATCACATTTCGATCACTTCAGTCAGTGTGAAAACAAAAAAGCATCGAATGTAATGAGGATATGCCAGTAACTCACAGCAGCCAAACACCTGGCTAAGCAGTGAAGTATTCCAAGGAAACTAACAACTCCTGTTGTTATGGAGGAAGAGTCTTATCCCTTTTCAGTGAAGAGGGATCTCAAACATAGAATCAGTATCACAATGATTAAAAAAAAAAGGAAAAAAAAAGTATTGGATGCTTAGTTTATAAATAAATTAACAGTTCTTCCAGTATTCTCCTAATGGACACAAAAGGTTATTATTTTGAAGTCCCTAAAGAAGGGGCCATTCAAAGGACAGCTGTTCATCTTGTCCACCTGAAGATACTTTGTTCAAACGAACATCTATAGTTAAAGCACAGAACAAAGAGATGTTACTTCTTGAGAAAGGGAGAAAAACCCTATCAAATTCAGTTTTTATTTGTTGCTTTTCTAATGAGCCTGAATATTCTTCCAGTGTTAACACGAAATGGATGGGACAGAAAGAAAACACAATTGTGTATCGATTAAAGTTTTAAATAGCATGCAAAATTGAGATAAAGAGCTGGAAACTGGCTTAACTCTAATTCCAGTTATTGCAGTGTCAGTTTGCTCTGATCACACTGAAGCAGAGGTGCAACTAAGCACTGTTTGAGAAACAAGGAACTGTCACCAAGTATAAAGGATCATTTCTCTCAGTAAGTTAAAGGGCAATGTATTTTTTACATCAGGTCCAAATCCAAACTCAAGAGATGTTCTGATCATAATTGAAAAAAAAAAAACAAAACCAACAAAAAAAAACAGGCAGTACCTAAAACAAAGAACAAAAGCTAAGATTTTGTGAATTTTGAATTGGGCTAGGTTAGCGTCCTTAAGAGGCGACACGCAAAACCTCCACAGACCTCTACAGAGAGTCAATCACTAAACCTTGAGTAGTAAGAGGTCAGCATAACTACTGAGTTGACTTACAATTCAACAGCCAATGAATTTTACCTTTCCTGCAGAAAAAAGCTCCTAATCTGAAACAAACACATGAACAAATACACTTGGCAGCCAACAGCACCACTGTCAAGAAGATATACTGACACTGTGAAGTACTTAGAAGTGAAAAGAGAAATTACCTTAGCCCCATGCTCTTGCTGTTCATCATCACAGCAAGTTCTCCCGGTGCTTCATCAATGAGCACATCTTCTGAAACAGGTATGTGGCCTCTAAATCTGAAAAAGCAGAATTAGCTGTTTTTGCAGCTGGTCAAATCATCACACCAGCAACTCGCCACAACAAGGTGACTTTTGTGCCTACAAATAGAGCGCTTCATCACATTAAATGCAGCTTTCATGACTGTTTGCACACTTTCCAAATACATTTTTGTACTGAAAGGCTGACTTATGTCCAGTGCCTTTGCTTCTAAGGGTTACCATTGGGAAAAAGATTAGCAAAATTTCATTTACTGATTTCCAAGGACCAGCTCCCTTAAGAAAATGGCCACAGTACCCACTAACAAACATCCCTGTTGGGTTTAGCTTATAGCTGAGCCTTTTTCTTATTGCCCCATCTTTTTTTTTCTCTCCAATGAAGATAGAAAAGTCAACAGTAGAGGTACATTTTATTTGAATAACATACCTGTTTACCCATATGTTTACCCATAATTGTCTACTCTGGTGTGGCTGGCATCACAAGTCACTGAACTGCCCCTTTCCCAGCAAACGCACCATTTTTGACAGCTGAGCAACTATTTCATGTAGAAACTGCAAACTCAAAGCACTATGCTTACTTGAGGCTAAATAGGGAAATGTGGGAAATTCAAATGCAGTTATGATGCAGTGTGGCCAAAAAAAAAGATCAGTTTGTACTTCTGCTAAAAAAGCGGAAGACTTAATAGCTAATAATTACAAATGGCTAGACCTTTACTTGTCATTAATGACAATACTTTCAGCAGCTCAGAATGGACCTTAACCAGCACTCCACCCATGCAGAAGGACAGACAAAAATAAACACTATCTGGAAATGGATTTTTGTTATAATATTTTTTTAAAGTGTTATGATATTAAGGAATGAACTAGGTTAGAGCCTCCTGACAATGAAGCAAAGGGTATTTGAGCTTGGTTAAACAAATTTTTATTGTTTGTAGTAGATAAAATTACCCTGTTATTGAGTTATACACCTAGAACTGAAACAGAACTGTGATGCCCAAGAGATTTACCTGTAAATACCAACTATTTAATTCTAACGACACTGAATATTTTCAAGAGCAAGTGTGCTATATTCTAGATGCTTTACTTAGACTGAATATGGCAAATGTGCTTTTACCTGCACCTCTGAAAAGAGATCACAAAAATATTGAATCCTCAGATTGGTCATCTATGATTTTGTTTCACAGAATTCTTTTAGGTAACTAAAGTTCTGTAAATCCTGATGCTTTTTCAGGGAAAACAAAAACAAACAAACAAACTAAAAACCACCCAGAAGCTAAAATAGGCATAATGGCATTAACAAGCACATTATCATAGATATCTATCATAAGTTCATCTTTTTCTGGGCTCAAATGCTGAAAAATATCCATCAGAAACAAAACCACCAAAAACCTCAATCTGTATGTCCTTCATATTCCACTTGTTTTTCATTAAAGAGATGCATGCACAGAATTAAGGTATTTGATGATTAAAAATCCATCTGTTCCTACTTAATTCTCACCTGAAGTCATAATCCTTTGTTTGTAACCTCAGTCATTTTCAACACACAAGACTGTGATTGCCTTTAAGACAGGTATTTTTAAAGCCATATAAACACCTTATTTTCAATGCAAGCCACAAACCAAGACAACAACAACAAAAACCCCCAAAACAAACACCTAATTTTCCGTATTCTCTGTCACAGTTTGCAAAGTAACCAGGTGGCTGTGATTAAGAAGAAAAAGTGATAAATTCCTCCATGGTGGTTATAATATATGAATGTACAAAGTGGGTCATGTAATGCACACTCTCGTGGGATGCTGTCAGCAGTTGCCGTATTAAAACAGTATCAAAATAAGCATCCCCGTGAGACCCTCCCATAGCTTCTTCCAAAAGACTGCTAGAGTTTTCCCCATTTCTTTCCCTTCCTAATGCTGAAATGCTAGTACTCAACTGAGTTACACTGGCTAATTCAACTTGTTTTAACATGCTCCCTTTAACTCATCCTCTCCACTCTAGTAATGTGATAACCAATAAACTAGTTTCTCCCCCTTTCCCAGAGACCCCATTTACATTGTTACTAAGACATTACCTCACCTCTGCAACTAACTCACGGGCCTTTAAAGCCACATCCCGTATTTCTATTTTACAGTTTCAGTCATGTATTGTGCCTCAGCCTTCACATTCTGCCTTCCACAAACACCACTAGGAAAAAAAAGTCCTTGCTACACAGAGCTTCACTGTTTCCATACCTATATATTCCACATACATATCAAATTATCTCCTTTCCTGTAAAATACACTTTGTCCAGTCCCTACCTAGGAAGATGCAATGCTTCAAAACTGACCTCTTCAAGGAAAGAAGGGGGAATGCCATATACATCTATGCTCACACTGCTGTCTTGGCAAATGTCTGTATTCCTTCAATACCTGCAGTAAGATCAACCTCTCATTTTCTTCTGCTGCTTCTCTTTCCCTACCTAGTCTTTTAGCACTGCTTTTCTTGTGCCTTTCTTTCTACCCCCTACTGTTTTCCTCTGCTGCTTTCCACAGCTGTCATGCTGTTTCCCAACACTATATACTAACATACTAGTAAGTCTACTCTCCTCTAAATCCAGAGAAAATTTGTGCTATAGGTCTTAATTATTTTATTAGTTCAATTCTCCCACTTTAATTAACTATGGCCCGTGTTTCATTAGGAATTTTAGAAATTTGTTGTAAATTAGGAATCTCGAAATCACCTGTTATAATCCATACAGGACTGGTGTAGTTGCTGTTGTTTTAGGAGCAGTTTTGCTTCTTGCTCAGCCAGTAAATGTTGGAGTCGTTCCTTTTCAATTTCCAGCTCCATTTTCTGCAGAAGCAACTTCTGCCTTCTTTCTTCATACAACCTTTTAGCGTTCTCTGTTTCTTTTTGCCTTGAGTCCACACTGTCATTCAGCCCAGAAACTTGGGAGAGCCTAGAGTCATCACAGGTTTTGTGAACTGGTGCAGAGTGTTTTCTAAGTACCTGGCTGACCTGGTGGCTCTCCTGCATGCTCCCTGAGCATCCTCCTTGCTTGCAGGCACAAGCATGACTGACTTGTTGAGGGCACGTGCTGTGAAATTCATTTGATTTCTGGTCAATATCCTGAGGTGGTTTTACATGGCGAGGGCTTCTCTGTTTGGCTGGGGAAATCATGTTGTTCCACTTCCTATGCAAGCCATTTTCTACCGGATATTCCTTCAGAGATTCCTGATGGTTGTAGTGAATTTCAGCCCCACAATCATAATTATTTCTGCAAGGCTGAGGCAATGCAACACGGGCTGGGCTTCCAACCTTTGATGCTTTACCGTTCTTATGCAAAGTTTGAGATCCCCCAATACCCAAGTAGGAACCATCCAGCTCCAACGACGGCTGCTGGCATAAGCTCTTCTTACTGGATACCTGCAATATGAAAAACAATTTTCTGTGAATTACCAAAATTTACCTTTGCTCATTAATTTCACTTTGTACATGTGTTCTCTCAGAAATAACTTGCTGCATTATGCAGATGGACATACAGCCAAACCCAAGAAAATGTTTATCAGAAGACAGATATGAATCTGCTATCAAATCTACATTTCATTCCATCTACGCAATTGTAATAAATGTAAAACTACTGCCTGCAGGATCTTCAGCATAAAATGAGTCACTTCAGAGTATCAAGTAGTTGTGAGCATCTAGGGTTACATAAAATCAACTTGAAGAGTGGCAAAAAACATTAAATGTTAAGGTTTGAAAATGTTTAATTTTGAATACTGAGCCAAAAAATCCATTCAGCCACTATAAATACTCTTTGATTGGCCATTACACAGCAGGAGATTTGATGTAAAACATTTCACCTTGCACTGAATAGGATATTACTTACCGCTGGAAATTTGATGAGAGTTTCTGAAATATCTTTACAGAAACACAGATAAAAACCAACTACTTTCTGTAAAAAATGGTTGTACATCAAAAGCTGTCATTTAAATACAAAACATGTTTAAGTTCAGCTATAAACGTAAGTGATTTTTCAATTAAGCTGGGCAAGTGATTATACTCTGATAAAACTCTGAAGAAAGGAAGCAACTGTAATTCACATGTGTCAACCCAGTGCAAGCAAATTCTAGTGGTTTTGTTATACTCATGGATATTGTGTAAGAGACATCAAAATCCTACTTACATCCCGGAGTATCTTTGCACTATGGTTCATGTAGGCAGTTAAACATTTGAGTTTTCATGCACATCAGAACAGCAGTGAATCAGGTACTTGCATTTATTTTACTAGACCTGTGCATTAATTTCAATAACGTGCCGAATTTAAACACCTGCAACCTTTGGGACCTTCCACAAAGATCTAATTCTTTTAATTACAGAAGACAGGTTTGTTAAAGATAACAAAACTGCTGCAGTGAAAGTATAGCAGGGAAATTTGGTATCCACTGATGGAAAGAAAGGTCTTATTTGCACTTACAATAGACAGGTATTACCACATAGAGTGGAAGACAGTCAGCAAGCCTCAAAATATGAGAACTCAGGAATGCAAGCAAGCGTCCAGTGTTGATTAGAAGAGAGATATAATCTACATCTATGCAGTGTTTATATGTATAATTTAAATTATTTTTATAAACAAACAAAATACCAAATATACTCTGCTGCCCTTCAAAACAACCAATTACAAGTTTCTTGTAGACTTCACAGAATGTAAATTAACATGGATTAGCACCTGAATACTGATATTTTATTATTTCCAGGTTTGTGGCTACAAATACATCCTCTCTGCCATGTGATTGAAAGCCAAGGATGTCACAGTTTGCTTAAAGAGCCCAGTGAGTTGAAGGCATTTGCATTAATGTCAGTGCTAAATGTCTGAGCAAAGTCTGGTGCTTGGACTGGGTGAAAAGTGCAGGACATTAAAATATTTTAAAGTCAGAGGGGCTGGCAGGGCAACTGAGCAGAAAAAGACGGAGTTTGGTTATTTATTATTTCTAGCATGCTATCCTTGTCTGCAGTATTTTGTAGACAAATAAAGGCCACAAAGCCCTTTTTATCTAAATTAGACAATGCATAAAGGGATGACCAGAAACAGGAATATTACAAAAAAGGGAAAGTAAGATAATTTCATGGTTATGTGTTGTCTCTCATTTCATACCTCACCTGCTTCTGTTAATGAAGCATTTAGGGCACCAACAAAGGCTTTCAAAACAGCCAGTTTCCCAGCCTCCAGGACAGCAGAAAGTGGCAGACCTGGAGGTATTCTTATAGGATCCTACCGGAGCTGGCAGCTTAGGGTGGTCTACAGAAAGCATACACCTATCCTTCTGCAGTCCATAAAAAGAAGTAAAAAGGAGCAAAAAAAGAGAAGACTCGAAAGATGAAATAACTGAGAAATTCTGTATTTTAGCCATTTGGTTTATTGACTGAAGAGACAAGAGAATGTTAAGAAAGCTAAGCACACAAATGAAGATGGTACAAAATAATCATCAGTAGCAGGTTTAAGAATAAAGGTCCACATCACAAATTAACTTCATGGCTGAGACTCTATTAAGAGTCCCTGAAGGCCCTAAAAGAGAGGTACCAGTTAGCATTTGTTGACCTTGGCCACCATTAAATCTGCCCTGATGGTCTCAGAAATGGCATTGACATTTAAAGACTTCATAACAAGGCAGAGAAACTTTAATGTTATTTCACAGTTACAATCTGTTTGCAGGGGGGAAAAATTCTCATTAATGTCTTTGAATGCAAGTGGGGCTTTTTTATTCTTTCGAAGGAGGTCATGTTAGGCGGAAGACTAAGTTCCAGCATGCCTCTGACAGCTACTCAGTACTTTCCAGGGTCTAATCCTACAGGAAAAAAAACTATTAGGAGTCAGAAGCCAGACAACAAATTTTTCAGCAATTCATGTTTTAGTGCCAATGCTTTAACTAAAAGCTACAGTTGGATGGTAGAGGTGGCAGAGAAAAGGGACTTCTACACAGATGAGGGATCAGATGAGCCGGGAGCATGCCATGACAGACCTGTAAGATGTTAAGATGCAGGCCAGGTGAAGGGGAAACAAAAAGACCAAAAAAAAAAAAAGGAAACAATAAAAATCCAAACACCCACCTATTACCGTGAGTCTAAAGACACACTAGCATAAGGAATCGGGTAATTCTGCAAGATGAGTTTAAGAAAGATAATGCCTATGGGACACATGGAAACCATGACGGACCATGATGGAACAGCTGTGCTCTCCCCTCCATGGAGCTCTTCCAGGCTCTCTGTACCATATTTAAAGATCCAACTTCTTTTAACTGAGGCTTAAACAAACAAACAAACTCAGAGTGTTCCTTGCAACATATGGAGTTAATAAGACTTGATCAGATGTGAAAGCCTTGCATAGAAACAAGGAGATATTAAAAAATAGTTCAAATAATCTTCAGGGGGGTTTAAAGAGAAAGACACGTGGGGAGCTCTAAGAAATCTTTACTGCAATCCCAGTAATTTTTGCTCAGGGATTCAGAACAGAGCTTAAACAAACATCCAGTCCTTAAAACTTCCTACAAACAGACAAACAGTGCGCCAGTTTTATGCACACAGCATCGTAATCTGTGCAAATTCTTCTTAAATGCAACTTGTGTGCTCTGCAGTGTTAATTCACAGCACTAGCAGAGGAGATGCATTTACAGACTGACTCCAGCACACAGGGCTTTGTACTGCAAGAGGTGAACTAGTAACTGATCAGATCTTACAATCTTAACACAGGCAAGGTCCTGACAAACTTCACTGGTAGCTCTGCATGTACAAAACATGTTTAAGAAACATCCCAAAATCATTGCCTTGAAAAGTCTTGCACTCTTGAGGACAAAAGCTAGTGTTCTAGTAAAATACTAGTAAAATAAAAACAACAGAAGTCCTACAGATGTTAACAATGTTAGTGTTCAATACACAGCACCTGGTTTTGCAGTTTGTAGCTAAAATATATTTGAATTAAAAAAAAAAAAAAAAGAGACAATGAACTAAAACAGTCCTCAGTTGTATCTTTATAACATTTCTCTAACATGGGTTTTCAGCTCTAGGATTTCTTTAGTGGGGTAGAAACAGAGGGAGGAATATGCAGTTTCAGAACTAGTCTATTGTGCTGGTCTGAGCGTGGACCCTGGACAAAGCCAGGAATGAATAGAAACAAAAACCAAGGGAGAAATCCAGAGAATTAAAGATATTTAAAGATGATGCAAAAACTTCAAAATGGACAAATGAGAGGCTACCATATACAGGGGCACCCTTAAGAGCACCAAGGGCATGTATCTCTACACTCTTCACCAGCTTCATTGCTTTTCTTTGGACAGGCTCCAGCAAAATTTATTAGGAAAAATGTCTTCACCAAAACGGTTGTCAAGCATTGGAACAGGCTGCACAGGGAACTGGTGGAGTCACCATCCCCGGAGGTATCTGAAAGATGCGTAGATGGCAGTTACTGACACGGTTTAGTGGTAGACTTGGCAGTGTTGGGTTAACAGTTGGTCTCAATGATCTTAAAGGTCTTTTCAAGCCTAAATAATTCTATGATTCTATTAGTGATCTAGCTGACTCACTCACTAGGGTATACATCTTAAACCTGGAACTCAGTCTCCACTATGCATTGCTGATGTATGGGTCTCGCATGAATAAAGCTTGGCTTTCAGTTTGCAGGTCTATCGACAGTAGAAGCACTTGCTCGTCAGTCGAATGAGAAGTATATATTATAAATAAGCTCAGGTAGAATATAAGGGCAACAGAAATGCCATTTTAAGGACAATTATTTCAAATGATAGGACTATTTGAAGTGCATTACGAGTGATTAAGGAGCTATTCTTTCCAAGAGTCTGTAAGAATTTATCAAGGCGAATATAAAAGGTAAAGATTTTGAAGTAAATTAGTAAGACCCACTGGAGTCTATCAATTATATTTTTTTTAAATCACATAATCCTTTATTAAAATCTCTACCATAAGTAACCTAATATCATTACAAAGTGCCCACAAAGCAGTTCAGCAACTGTCTCTGTCAGTATCTAAGATAAATACAGTAGATAACTTGGAAGGTAAACTGACCATTTTTCAAGCAAGAAATAAAGCACCATTTTCTGTAGAAATTATGTATGGCTATGATTGCCATATTCACTGAATAAAACAAGCGGCCTCAGTTCAAAGAATCAGTACATGAATGACAGTCACAAGCCTGTATTTTTCCTGTAAAAAATCAACTGAACTCAATATACTGAACAGGTGTAGCGAATAATAAAAAAAGAAATAATAGAATAGGTTCACATCACAAAAAAAGTGAATCTGTAGCTGTGAACTGACAGCAGAGGAACACCTCCTATGTTTGTGTTGCCTTCAGTTTTTTTCCTTCTCTTTGTTAAGAGGGTCTGAGCTGGAATGCCAGGTGCATAAAAAACCTGCAG